ACCTTGTCTAAATAATTCTATTTATTACCTATTTTTTGTTATTTTGAATATAATAATGATGGCAAGCGGACGTCATGACTTAAACATCTAACAGTTTCACTGGACATGCAATAAGTAGTATTTTTTCCGAGAAACATCTAACACTTACGTGGTACCTAGTGGAGATGATATTATAATTAGTTTCCATTCACTTTGCTTTGTCGGCTACAGGTAGATAATTGGCTCCTGGTTTAGTTTGTTGTAACAAGGTTCCATTTTAGGAATTTAGAGTTATGTGGAGGGAATCAGATTTAACCCAAATTTTTATTGTCAAAAAAAAACAAACTGCCGATACATTTTTGTGGTGTACAATTTTGAAAACTATTCTTATAACAAAAAAAAAAAACCGAAAAATTGAAAAACCGACAAATCGAAATTAGAAAAGTCTAAAAATCGAAAGATTGAGTGCAATGGATACATCGACAAATCTAAAATTAGAAAATTTGAAAAAAGAAAATATTGAAAAACTGAAATATCCAGAAATTGAAATTCCCGAAATTGAAATGTTGAAAAATTGAAAACTTGAAAAATCGAGAAATCGGAAAAACGAAAAGTCGAAAAATTTTAAAATTTGAATAATCGTCATATCATGAAATTGAAAATTCGTAAAATTGAAATACATATCAAAAAAATTTAAATCGGGAAACTGAAATATCAAAATATCGTAAAATCGAAAATTGGAAAAATCGAAAATGTAAAATTTTAAAAATTGAAAAGCTAAAAAACCAAAAAATTAGAAATCGATAAGTTGAAAAATCTAAAATTTAAAATATCGAAAAATTGAAGAATCGAAAAACCGACAAACCCAGAAATTGGAAAATTGAAAAATCGAATAGTCGCGAAGTACAAAGATGAAAATATTGAAAAATCGTGAAGTTAAAAAATTGAAAAATTGAAAAATTCTAAATTGAAAAATTTAAACTTACAATCAAGAAATCAAAAATTTTAAAAACCGAAAAATCAAAAGCGAGAAGTTGATAAATGTAAAGATCGAAAAATCAAATCATTAAAAATTCGAATAATTGAAAAATAGAAAAAATCGAAGAATTAAAAAATCGAAAAAGTTAAAATATTGAAAATGTAGAGAAATTGAGAAATAAAAAAATTGGAATATCCAAAAGTCGAAAAATGAAAAATATAACTTTAAAAAAAAGGATAAATCATTTTTCAAACATCGAAATTTCGATTATTGGAAAATTCGAAAAACTGAAAAAACGAAAACCCAAGAAAAAATCGAAAAATTTTAAACCGAAAAATTAAAAAATGAAAAATCAATAGGGATGTACCGACTAGTGGCCGACCGGTCGGATAAGCTGACTATTCGGCCGTTTTTCATCGTCGGCTGGCAGTCGGCGACTGGTCGGCTAAACAGCCGATTGGTCGGCTTTTTTTATTAAAATAAAAATAGTATATAAAACAATTAAACCCGGTTTACAGAACCTCAATGAAATATTTAATTGCGATTTAATTTTTAACCCCGCGTTAAAGTACCATGTGACCGACTCTACGTCAATCAGACGTCGTTAATGGCCTTGTTAAATGCGTGATCAACTTAATCTCAATTAAAATATTGTATAAACTGGCCCTAAATTGTGTTATTTTTTATTTTTGTACTGAGTTACTAAAAAAAATTAAATATTTTAAAATTATCCAAACAAATTTAACACCTTTTTTGGAGAACAAAGTAACTTTAGTTATTCCTTTTATTAAAATAAAACAAATTTTTAAGGTAGTCAGAGAAATAAAAAAAAAACACACTGTCGCATTTATAAACCGGTTTTAGCAAAGCCGAACAGTCGGCCGACTAGTCGGTTTTTACTGGCCGAACAATCGGCTAGTCGGTTAGTCGGCCAGGCCAGACCTACAGTCGGTACATCTCTAAAAATCAATAATTTAAAGAATCTAAAAATTGAAAACCGAAAAATCTAAAAACGAGAAGTCGAAAATTCAAGAAATCAAAACATTAAGAAGCGAAAAATGTAAAATTTAAAAATTCGAAAAATTGAAAAAAAAAATTGGACTATCGAACAGTCGAAAAATCGATAAACCGAGAAATCGAAATTGAAAAATTGAAGAAACATTGAAATGTCGATAAGCCGAAAAATGGAACAAAAAATTCAAAATTGAAAAATTTAAGCAAAACTTAAACACCGATAAATCAAAGTATCGAAATCTCGATTAATCGAAAAATGGAAAAATTGTAAAAACGAAAACTTATGAAAAAATCGAAAAATTGAAAACCGAAAAATTAAAAATTGAAAAATCAATACATAATTTAAAAAATTAAAAAACTGCATAAACGAAAAATCTAAAAGCGGGAAGTCGAAAAATTGAAACATCCAGAAATCGAAACATCAAAAAAGTGCAAAATTTGAAATCTAAAAAATCGAAAAATTGATAAAATCTAAAAACTGAAAAATCGAGAAAGTAAAAAATCAAAAAATCAAACAATTGAAAAATCCAAATATGTATTGAAAAATCGCAAAAGTGAAAAATCACATAACTGAAACATCGCAAGATCCAGAAATCGAAACATCAAAAAAGTGAAAAATCTGAAATTTAAAAAATCGAAAAATTTAAAAAATCTGAAAACTGAAGAATCGGAAAATTTTAAAAAATCGAGAAAGTGAAAAATCAAAAAATCAATAAATTGAAAAATCGAAATGTATTGAAAAATCGCAAAAGTGAAAAATCCCATAACTGAAACATCGAAAACTTGAGAAATCGTAAAACTGAAAAATCGAGAAACCGGAAAGGCGAAATATCAAAAAAGTGAAAAATGTGAAATTCAAAAAATCGGAAAATTGAAAAAATCTAAAAATTGAAAAATAAAAAGTCGAGAAATCGAATTATTTAAAATTTAAAAAATCGAAAAATTAAAATATCGAAAAATGAAGAATCGAAAAATTAAAAAATCGAGGAATCAAAACATCGAAAAATTGAAAAAACTAAAATTTAAAAAATCGAGAAATTTTGAAAAATCGAGAAGATAAAAAATCAAAAAATTGAAAAATCGGAATATGCATTGAAAAATCGCAAAAGTGCAAAATCCCATAGTTGAAACATCGAAAATTTGAGAATTTCTAAAACTGAAAAATCCAGAAACCGGAAAGTAGAAAAATCGAACAGTCGAAAAATAAAAAAAATTGAAAAATCGAACATTTGAAAAATCGTACACGTGAAATATCGAAAAATTGGAAGTAAAAAGGTAACTTTTGTAATGGATATTTCCAAAGTGCATGATAGTTGCCATTATCAATTAGGTCAAATATAAATCATCCTTTTCACTTCCTGAGTATCCTGAGCGTAACCGAGTTTATCGGGAAAATTCATGATGTTTCGATGTTTTATAACTTCTAGAATACGAAAAAAATGATCTCCCGTTTCGTTCTGCCTGTCGTCTGTCTGTCTGTCCGTCGATCCGTTCTTCTGTCAAAATTTTTGTGTATGTTTTATCAATACAATCTTGTTTAACCTAAGTAAGCTTTTACTTTTTGAAAGTGGAATTGACTAAAAGTCGATAAAGTTTCTGTGTTCGAAAATCACGTATATTTATTTCCTTTCTTATTTTTGTGCAACTATCAAACAAGTTGGATTAATGAGGCTAAATTTTCTTTAGCATAAATTTTCTGGTAAGGAAAAACCGAAAGGTAAATATTACGTTAACCTTAGGCATCTAGATTTTTGTAAAAAATTCAAAACTGTACAATTTACAGTTTAAGTTAGAAACTACAAAACAAATTAACTTCAAATTTTGCACACTCTTCATGGTGATCGGGAACTTGATAAATAGCTAATCAGAATTCATTTGTTCATCTTTTCCAAACAGTTAACGACGTCACCTCAAAATTTTATTAAGTAAATCTTACTTGAAATTTATGCGATATTCTCCAGAACGATTTTTTTATTTAATTGTGGCACGATTATTCATTCTCCCTAGGAAGTTACTGACGTTGTTACAAATTTTTACGTTGTTTACATTTTAATAATGTAGAGTATTTATTTTTTGAATGCTTTAAGCAGGTTATAGGAAATAAAGTAATGAATTGATTTTATTAATTAAAACAAAGGCGTCCTCAAAAAGTCAAAATTTGCTGAATCAACTTTTCCAATCTGTCTAAGAAACTATACTTGTCTGATTGCCCTTCAAGGACGAGGGAGGTTTTATGTAAGTAATTTTAGACTAGTTTTTTATCGTTAGGTATTTACATTTTATATTTGCATACATCCAACAGGTAACGTGTTTTATTGGCCATCAAACCAAATAGCAAATTACGCAATTTTTCTAGTCTATTGCACCACATGGATCAAAACAGAAATAGTACAGAGATAGAGTAAAACACTTCAGACGATGATATTAGGGAATTTTATAAATTAAGTAATTTTAAGATAGAACTACAACTTGTGCTTAGTCGTTGCGGTGAGAGTATGAATAGACTATGAGCTATTTAACTTATAAAAATAATGACAATAACAATAGCTTTATTGCACAAGTTCTTCAGCCACTTATAATCAGGACAATTATAAAACGAAAAGGACGCGAATTACAAAAAAAATATTTGTGACCTATGGAAATGTCTTTGTAAAATTCATTAATGCATTGATTTTTTACTGTTAGAGTTGTCGGTTATGAATCTCCACTCTTTTTTTTTACTTCAAATATTTTGTCCGGGTTTCCCCTATATGGGTTTGTTTTTTCGCGTTGTGTGGTTAATGTACTCCTCAGTTGGAGGTTCCGTATTTATTTGTAGTTACCGTTCATCGCGTGTGGCGCTGGTACAGTAAAGGACTTATAACCAATTAAATTCTTAAAAAAGCGTATTATCGTAAATACGACATTCGTTAGAATTCAGGCTGTAATTAATTCTACTCATGAATATATGGGAATGCTACCTGGTAAAAACGCAAAGTCCAAGTGACCCATTCAAGTTGCATTTCATGAATATTTAAAACAAACACAATTGTAGTGTTATTAGAAAATTTATTTTTTCCGAAGATATTTTGAATTCTTAAAAATATAACGTTGGTACATAATACGTGAGATGTAATACAGTTAGTGTTAACTATTCTAAAATAAATAATATAAAAAATCACAGATAACATTGTAATGTATCTACTCAAATTGACGATCGACATGATGATGAAATGGAATGTATGTACAGTAGTGATAAAATCAGTCGATTGGATACATATTCTAAACATAAACAAGATCTTTCTGATCGGCATTAAATTAGGGCAAACATAAAATTTGTGATGAGAGCTTTAATCGAGAGAAACAGGTCAGCCAGCAACCCCCACAGGCGCTGGTTGCAGAGGTCGCAACAACGCAGGTACAAGATTGATCCTCTGCGTCTGAACCCCGGATCTTTCTTTGGTGTGCCTCTTGACGTGTTTAGCCAAATGGTCCGACCTCATAAAACTCCTCTGGCAAACACTACACTTGAACTTCTTCTCCCCCGTATGAGTCCTTTTATGCCTCGACAACTCGTCCGAACGCGAGAACCTCCGTCCACAGTCCTGCCACTCGCACTTGTAGGGTTTCTCCCCAGTGTGTTTCCTACTGTGGGCCTTGAGATGCGACGACTTGAAGTAATTCTTATTGCAACCTTTGAAAGTGCATTCGTATACCCTGCGGCGAGCCGGAGGCGGCGGCTGCTGCGTCGGTGGCGGCGCCAACAGGAACAGCTGCGTGGGGATGAGAGTCGTGCTGCCGTCCGCGGCCACGAAGAACGTGTGCGGTTGATGTGGGGCAGGGAACTTGGGGGCGATGGCGGGCAGGATGATTTTGGGTGGCGGCGACTGCGGGGGAGACTGAGGAGCGACTTGAGGCGGCTTCGGCGGTTCTTTGCCGGTGTCTTTGCTGTTCACGAAGATCTCCTCCTTGCGAGTGCCCATTTTAAATTTGAGGCTTTTGACGATGTTGAAAATGGGCTCGACTGGGACGGGGCTGCGGGTGCAGGAACCGTCCTTGTTGGCATGCATTATGACGGAGAAGGTGCGGGGTTGTTCTGGGGGCGGCGTATTGCTGAGGAGGTGGCGGGCCAACTCGGTCTCATTCCTGCAGAAGCGCTTCTTAGGAGGGTATTCTATTTCTTCGCTTTCGGAGTCTGAGGGTTGGGGCGTCAGGAGGATTGGGGATGCACGCTTCCTCTCGAGAATCGTCCGCACTTCCTGAAGAGTCAATTCTTCGTCGGACATCTAATGACAATTGAAAGAAAAAATTAGTGATGACACAAACACAAAACCCGCGAGATCTCAAACTTGGGATAATTCGAAAAAAAAAAGGGAAATGTAGTGCAACAACTTACATTCTTTAAGGGGGGCGTGCTGGGGGGTGACAGCAGATGTGTGACTTCTTGGTTCATCATCTTGGTTGATCACAACTGCACTGATTTGAATAGTAAACTGCTTCGGTGTGGTGGCCACATTAAAATGAATCTGTGTATCGGTGCGTTTCGTGATGTTATTGCTCTGGCATGAGCTTTTGGGGTGTGTTTGGCGCTGAAGAGCCAAACCAGCCAATGAGAAGCGGGGGCTCGTCGCTCTCGTCCAATCAACGTCGAGTGATCATGCATGGAACGCGTGATCACGAGCGTGACGTTCACGTGCTACCCGGCTGATATCCGCGGCCACGGCCGTGATGCTTACGTCACGAAAGCGTGTCTCACCGTTTCTACGTCACAGGCAAGCCCCAGCGTGTCTTGCGTTGAGCGATCGATGACAACATTGCGTTACAGCTGCGGGTGGGCGCTGGTATTTTTAAAATACGCAAAACGTAAAGGCACTGGAGAGGGAGAGCTTTTTTTATCGTTCTTTGAGGGCTTTCGGGATTGGGAGTGAGTTGGTCGAACGCCCCATAAAAGAGAATTTTGTCAGCGCGTCGGCGGGCGTGTTTTGGGGTCACTGGGCGGCAAAGACGCTCCTTTATGACCATCATACTTTTTTGACGTGGCTGTAATGAAATTTGGAACTACACGCGAATCTGGTTTTGATAAAACGGTACTCAAATATTCGTATCCTTGACATGTGCGACATTACTAACTTATTAAAAGCTCTGATTGTTTTCGGCGATTCATCGTTCATCATGCTTTGATGCACGTTGAGTGCGTGTTCATTGTACATTTTTTTGTTAATATTTGCAGTTAAATCGTTGCAACAATTTAATTATTGAGTATCACCGTAGGCGATTAGAAATTGTTTAATTAAGTATATAAATATCGACTCAAATTGAATAAATAGCTGTACCTCTTTTTTATTTACTTTATGAAAGTTTCCAGAGCGAACACGCAGGACTTCATGACAACTATTACACGATATTAATTTTCTCGGCTTTATCTTATTTACTAAAAGCATGACAAAAACGTTGTTTATATGTCTGTGTTTGTTCACAGACCATTATTTCACAACGAGCGCAAGGTAAGACTCATATCAGCCATGGAAAATGCCTCATTTGAAGGTAAATTCTCCATTTGCGTGTTATTTTTATTTCCCAAAATCTGTAATTGCAAAAAACTAATATTAGACTGAACAACATTTGTTAAGCGATGCAGTGCAAATGTTTGAATTATGAATTATTCGTAGGTACATCATAATTATATTGTAGAAAAATGTTGGCCTTGTTATTAAGTTTCATTTATCCCTGGACTAACAATACAAAATGACTTGTGCACATCGCGTTAAACAACCTAAAAATCTACCCTATTCTAATACACAGAAAAATTGTAACCACATATCAAGTTTCTCCGGAAGTGACTATCAATTTTTTTTCAAGTATACACTTTTTAAGCTCATCTAGTGAAGGATTTTTTTTTCACTTTTTAATGATGAACTGAGTTGGTATATTATTATGTAATTAATGAAGCAAAAAAAAAAATGGAAGACCTGTAAGTATTTTTACTTCAAAAATGTGAGGTCGGCTACTACTTAAATGATTAATTTCTGAAGAACGATTGTCAAACTGTAAACATAACTGCTCGCTATTTATTATTCTTTAAGTACCTGATGTTAAAATAATGCTTTGATTTAGTTGTTGTTACTCTCTTTTAGCTTTATTTTTAAAATTACTTAAACATAACTTTCTTCGCTTCTGAAGTACAGTACACATCATATCCTTTTTCCAAAAATGATAATTTTGCGAATTTATTATTTTTTATGATGACTCCTATGTGTGTAGAATTAAAGTCACTGTAAACTGCTACAAAATTTTGTGATGATGTCATCAATATTTTAGCAGGGGTACGTATATCAATTTGGATGGGCATTGTTATACTAACAGTGTTGGGGACAGATACTTTTAAAAGTATCTAGATACAGATATAGATATATGGAAGATAAAAGTATCTAGATACAGTTACAAGAAAACAGATACTTTTTGAAGCTTTGGCGAATAAAATAACTGAAAACATGTTTATGTATTTTTTATGTATTGTTTAATGATTTTTTTTAAATTAACAACATTTCGAACGTATTATCACCTAAATTATTTCTTCTTGGTGTCAGAATTTGGTTTCCGCTACTAAACACAGGTGCAGAAGAAGGGATTGTGGTATTAAATTTAAAAAATAAACATTTTACTGTAGCATATAGTTAATCAAGATTGAAAACTCTTTTCTTTTTTCCCTGTTTGATGTGTCGCAAATTGTGCAATATTTAAAACGTACCTACGCTTAAATAATTTTTTTTTTGTTTATTTTCCCATACTACAGTGTCCAAATTGTGTTTGAGTATATCTAATAAATTATCTCCCGCATTAAAATTAATATTTTAAAAGAATACGGGAAATTATTATTCTGTGCTGAAGGTCTGTTGTCGGCAACCTGTCATAAATTATTATTCTTCAATATCGGCTTACGATGTTTTTATGACCATGTCCGGTAATCGTCTATCCCGGTGCGGCAGGTATATACATTTTAGGAAGAATTGCTGGTTCCGTTTAAGGCAAAATAAGTACAATTTCTTAGAAAGGTATTTAAACCTCTTTTAGGATCAAAGGCTGCCTGACAGGCCGGAATCACTAGAGTGCAACTTTAAATTTTTATATTTTTGTTGAAACTCATTTTATTTTAATCTCGTTTCACGATTTCTGAGAATATATCACGATAAATTATTCTACGGAGGGTTGTAAAAATATTAATTTTATTGCCCAAGATTTACACTTAAACATAATGGGCACATTCTAGGGCAAAACGGACCTGCCAAGCTCGCCTCGCGTTAGATCCAACAATAAAAAAGTGAAGAAATGACACATGTGGCAACAGGAAAAGATGCTACATTTGTCTGAAAAATAAAGATACAAAAAATTTGTGGTAATTGAAAAAAGTAATCATTATGTAAGACGCAATTATTATTTTCTAAAAATAATAACATACCTTAAACGAATATTTTTACTATTAAAATTACTCTTATTTAATAACACAAATACAACCAGCCAGCCTACCGCACCCGGGTTGCTCAGGTACACAGATAAAATGCATTGCCCCGACAAGCATAAAAAGTAGTGAATAGTGATTTGTGGTCTATGGTTTTTAAAATACCATCTTACCATGGCCTAGATTTATTACACCTCAGGATTATATTTAAAGATGTATAAGTGCTGAAAGCTACAATGTAGAAAATGATGGTAGGTATTTAAAATATGAAAATTTCCGTGATAGAACACTATTAGTGGACCTCTTACCTCTACTTTTGTTTATGTGACCAAAATCACCAACATGAAGTATCAAAAATTACTACTAGTATAACTACTGAAAAAATTTTGTATCTAGATACAGATATTTTGTACTTAAATTCGATTTTATCTAGATACAGATACTAGATACCCAAAAATGTATCTATATACTTTATTTAGATACAAGTATCTAGCTACTGCCCAACACTGTATACTAATAATAATACTGTATTCCCAAATTCTCTGGGGTGAGCAGTTGAATAATCTCATAATGTTTGTTAACATTTCAGAGCATTCAGTTTTGCAGTTTCAAAATTTAATTGTAAAATGTCGTTTTACACTTTAGATTTTTTCTTTTTTTTTTTGTTAATATTGAATACAGATTCATAAACTTCAAGTGTATATGTTATTCAATGAAATTCAAATAACATTTACTATACAAAAAATTTGAGGGCATTATATTATTGGTGGAGACGATTACCCAAATTTTGAATAGCGTTTTACTATATGTACGATATCACTAGAATAATGAAAACTGAATATGTTTTGACACAAAATCGAATGTGGAATATATGTACAAATTTTATTAATTCTTAATTTTAATGCAGGATAATAAAAAACAATCGAGACATCTTGAAATTGCGGCTGAGGAAATTTAGCATCTTTGACATCTAAAGTTTTTTGGTAAAATAAAATTTTGATATTAAAGACAATTTGTTTTTGATTTTTTGATTACTCATCATAGACATGTGAGCCGCTAAGCTCAAAAAGTATGAATGCTATTAGTTTTTCTGTCACTTCATCTTACAAGGGGTTTTGGGTTGATTTTTATTTCAGGAGAAATTTGAAATGAGAGAAATGACAGGAAATCAAATCTCAGATCCTACTGTAGCCGAATTGTCACACAGGATGAAGAAAGTATTTCCTTCTCGAATAAATTAATGAAGAGAATACGGTAATCTCTTCTGACATATATGACGTGACCAATTTATAAATGAAAAAAAATAGGAATAGAAATGCGAAAGCCGCTACAGATAGAATCAGTTTAATTCAACTGGCGGGCATTCCCCGAAATAACTGAAAGTTTCTCAGCCTTCAAGTCGAGTATTATTATTTATTAGTAAATTATTTATTCTTCAAAGTTTGAAATGTCTACCTTAAGTTTCATTATCTTCTTTATGGTAGCTATATATTTGTTTAAGTATTCATCCCAAATAAAGGTTAACAATTAAACTAAAACTAATTTGCAATGTTTTTAGTGCATTCTACAATATTTATTTATACTCTACAGAAGAATAACAATAAACGTGAATACGGCGCGAAATCGAAGGTCGAAGCTTGTATAGAACTGAGTAATCCCGTGCTATTTTCGACAAAAATAATAACATGTTTGTGTTGTTTTTATTGAATTACGTTTTGTTTGGGAAAAAATAGAAACAATTGTAACAACTGATATACTGGTGTCGAATTTTGTACAAATCATCAATCGTCATGTGTGTAATTAGGTACTATTAATTATTTACAAACAAAACTTCACTCCAACATTTTAATTAAAAGTTGCAGATTGTTGTTTCGACCTCCTTTGGACTTGTCAGTACAACTCATTTCAATGGTTGTTTAGCATTCCAGAGTAATTACTTAATATCTTAATAAGTTTCCACGACTCATTTATTTTTCTGTAAAAACACATGATGGTGAATTGCAATTAATAGTTAAATTACTTTACATTCTCTGTACTTTCCATAATAAATTATAATAAAATCATAATTAATTTATAATTATAATAAATGTAAACGTACAATCGTAC